GGGGGGTGGGGGGTAGGTAGGGGGAGAAAAGAGAAAAGAAGTGGGAGATTATACGTTCAAATAACCTACATAAAAAGGTTATTTCATTCTCCCTTCCCATAACCGCTCAAATGGGTAGGATCTCACAAAAATAAGCAGTAAAGTACATTCATACATTACTAGAGTAACATATAATTACCATCAGTTGAAAAAGACTGCTAAATTGTAAAATAACTTTTTTTAACAATTAAATTCTATGTGCACCGTGTAGCAAAACACTGGATTAATTAATGTTAGTATAGGGCTCTCAAGTGTTCCTATTCTTCAAAGTTAGCTTAAATAACCATCTCCCCACTTACGTGAGTTGCTCAAAAATGGTGCAAAATCTGTGAACAAATATTACATGTTGAACAAAACATTTAAGTGCTGATCCTTTATCAGTTATAGTTACCTCAACATTTTTCACCAATTCTGATGACAGACAAATGGAAAATCTAGTTAGAAAATAAATACAGATGTTGAGCTCAGTATTTCATTTTCTGCCCTCTGACATATACAAATGTCTCCTTTCCTCAAGTTTCACAGATTTCCAACTGCTTCTGTTTTCATCAGGATTTAATTTTGAAATTGATTACTTCAATGATTTGCGATGCCTGTGACAAAAACTCAGTTGTATACATGCTAAGCACAGATTGCTGTAACAAATCTGCTAGTTAAATAACACAGTACTTTTAATTTTTGACATTTCTGCTAAAAAAAAAAAATTCCACACCTCTATTAATACCAAGTCTGCCTATTCCAACAATAACACACAAATCAGCGTTCAGCTTCCATACTGAATGTATGAATTTAATTAAAGGATACCTGTAAAATTCTATGACATCAGTGAAGAGACAGAAAGGAGAAACCACATCATTTAAAGCACACATCCACTAACAACCAAAAGACTTTTAGCTTAAACATGTAAGAAATCAGTGTTCCTTTGTACTGTCTTCTCAGATGATTATAATAGGTAGATGTGAAATGCCCATGTAGTATAATAATTTGCAATAGAAAGAATTACTTCTGACATTAGCAAGTCTCTAAAGGTCACTATCAGTTCTTCTGAACTGCAATGTTCTAACTTTTCTTCAGAAATACTAAGCAATATTTCAAGAAAAGTAAAAAAATGCAATGAAAAACATTGAAAAGAATGCTGTGTCTAACTAAACGTGATAAGACCATGAATATTCCAAGTTTTATTTGCACAAATCCAAATATTTTCTGCTCTTTGATACCTACCATCAGCAATATTGTGCACGAGTATTTATTTTACCCATTTAGCTCCAGACAGAATTTGCGAGCTCAAGTGTAAAGCATCTTATCACTTTGCAGAAGTTGCTTCAAATGCCTTTTCCTGCTGCTTCAGTCATAAGCTTTCTTAAAATCACTTTGCTAGGCATGGCCACAACGACCCATTCTTTAATAATATCTTTTTCAGGGGTTCAGATTTCACCTGTCATATAGCTGTACCAAAGTCCCCTGAAAAGCTCAAATTTTCAGGTAATGCTCAAGCAATGTATAACTCAGTATATCAATCAAGGGGAAGGAGAAACATTTGTATAAGAACTAACACTGGCACCCGTATCCCCCACATCCCAGACAATGCTCTAATCCCAGGCTAATGGGACTTTGGGGAGAGCATATTCTCCCCATGTTCAGTTTCCTCTGCATCTCCCATTAACTGTGCGGCCAGGAAGAATCATGGCACCAGAAGACATCAGGAAAGATCTGACTAAATTATTATATGTTTGCTGTGATTCTGTTCATTTCTGAGTTTACTTTTATAACAGATGATCACTGGACTTAGGGGGGTGTGGTGGTGGCGAAAGAGTAACAATCCACTCTACAAACATCACTCCAGAAACTGGGCACCTAGTTTTCAGGTGTAGAAGTGTTAAACAAGGTAACTCCTACACCTTCTTGTTGAATTTAAAAGACAGTCACTTATTCTCGTTACAACATTGTGTTGACAATAAACACCTAACTGTAAAATCAGCAAAATGACAGTCTAATAAGAAAGCAGGGATTATGCAAAATTTGTCATCCTATCATCAAAAATTGCAGTATCAACACTTATTGAATTTTAAAAAAAGAGAATGTAGCCTGAAATATATAAAGCTTACAAGTAATGTAAATGAGGAAATTATTAGCATCTTTAAGAAGTAGCTACATCTATGTCTATATATCTGTATCTTATGAAAAAAATAAAAGCCTAAAAAAAACCCCAAACCTCATTACCAATACTTTTTGTTTTTTCTGGACCCCAGATGTAACAGTGAACTACATAACAGAGCATGATTCCTTCCAATCTTGTTTTTTGCAGCACCAAAAAACCCACATGTAGTTCTCTGATAGATGGACTATTTAAGAACTATTTTTAGAATCCCTATTCTATCCTTAGGTGTAATTCTCTGTTCTGAACTATCACTAACTACTCCCAGAAATCAACATTTGTAATTGCAGAGGTCAGAACTAGTATGAACAAACCTAAAAAAAAGTCTCAAAATGCAAAGCACAGTTTCCTAAACAGAAAATTATCTTTCTTAGTCTTAAGTAGAATACCAACAAACATTTAGCAAAAATGCCAGCAACTGCAACACCAAATCAAGAACCATTTTTAACAGATGTGAGTTTGTATGAGAAGAGGTTTTAGGGAGAGCTATTCACATGTATCTGGGTCCCCTGAAAGTATTCTATTTTTTGCAAAGTATTTGCCAGTTACAATCTTTTAAAAAAAATTTACTTTAAATCAATATAAAAATACTCTAAAACCCCCAAGAATTTCCTTCAACCTAGCCAAACCAAAATTAATGCTAGAAGTGTTTTCTTTAGAATACTGTCACCAAAATTATTATTTGTATTATTATAAACACATAATTAACTCTCCTCACCATAATCTGTGACTGATTTGGGAGCACGCTGTTCCGTTTCCGCATTGCGTTTCTTATTCTTGGATTTCCAAGCATGATACACCTTTAGCCTTCTGTGAAACTCTTCTCTGCAAGCCGCCAACAGTTCAATATCTGTTTCAAAAATCAGAAAGGAAGGAAGGGAGGAGTAGGGAAAAAAAATCAGAAAAAATATTTATGAAATGTTTTTCTGTATTGATAGGTACATAATTTTAGATCAGTTTGCAACAATAATATGTTATAATACACTCAACCCTCGCTCTGCAGCAACAGGGCCTGTATTTTATGGCCCAGAAAGATCCCTGGAGTGCTAAATATCATTTTCTCCTTTAGAGGAATGGCAGTCCCCAAAGTAGCTGTTCTACTGTAACGTTTGGAGCAGTGAAATGCTACAAATAAGATCTTCCCTTTGCTATATTTGTCTGTTGGCATTATCACAAGCCAAGCAGTACAAAACCGGATAAACTTTCACTGCTGAACTTTATTTCTGCAACTGAAAAAAAGAAAATCAGCAATTTGTTGCCCAGAGAAGTTGTGGAGGCCCCGTCCCTGGAGATGTTTAAGGCGAGGCTGGATAAGGATTTGAGCAACCTGATTTAGTGGGAGACGTCCCTGCCCATGGCAGGGGGGTTGGAACTAGATGATCTTTAAGGTCCCTTCCAACCTAAACCATTCTATGATTCTATGAATTTGACTGCTCAGATCTAGGTTCTTTTTCCACTTTCTGAATTTCATGATACTAAGAGACTGAATGATTGCAAGACATTTTAGTCACGTAAGAGCATCCATACTGGCTTCACCAGGGATGAACACACATTAGCACCATGTATTACTGCACCACCTATTCAGTTGAAAACATTGCTCCAGTTTGCACGTGTGAAAATAATAGAGACACAGTTAGAATTTGGAGCTAACTTTGGGTTTTAAATACAAATAAAGAGAATGGATTTGTTTCCAATTTCTACATCCAGGGAGAAATTCTGAGTTATCTTAAATCAGAAATCAACCAACTGCTTTCAATCAGAAGCAGGAAGAAACAGTAATATTTAATAAAGGAATAATTCTTATCTGCTTCTATCTTCATAACACTGGGGGAAAAATTAACTAATGTCCCAACTATGAGCTTCCCAAATGAAGTTACACATTTTGAAAATTAAATAATGATCTGAACCTCTAAGACAGAAAGCATTTTACTCTGTGCTTTACACGACGTATTTGCTTTTTGTGATTTGCTGATAGCAAGAAGCAATAGCAAAGACTTTCTTAGAACACACAAGTTCTAGGTAAAGCATAATAACTATTATTTGCCTTGTGGAAATACACAAAACTGAGATGATTTAATTAAGAAATTATAATATGCATTTTATGGCCCAAGCAGTTTAACACCAGAAATACATAATCAGTAAAAGAGGTAACAAAGCAAACAGCAAACTCTTTACTCGGTACAGAAATAACTTAAGTTTGCTGTTCTCTTTGGGGTAACAACTTTTTAAAATTGACATTCATTCAAACCTGAATAAATTAACGAGCAAGTTTTTAATCTTTCTCATAGGAAGAAAGTAACACTTTTCATACAACTACAACTTGACTTCTCAAATCAGAAAAAAAACCCAAACAACTTACCACAGGATGTATTGATTGTATCACGAAGCTCTGCATATTTCCACTTACTGAGATCGTGCTTCTTAGTACCAGCAGCAGCTTTCGTGGCTTGAACTGAAGGACTCCTACAATTATTAAAAAAAAATATATATGCATTTTTTCAAGTATAAAACAGAAATTGTTACAATGGGAGGAACAGATCACACTACCAACACTGCAGCATGCTTATTACAATGAAAATCAGCAGCAGAGGGACTGAATGTAAATGCAAAATACCATTTTATTTTCAAGAGGTTCAAATGATTAAGAAAAAGTGAAGGCATCTTTTACGTCCAATATCATATAATAATCTGATTGGTTGCCTAGAGATTAAAAGGAATTGTCATTAATAGTTAGCGTTCATGTGTGAAAAGATGCATATTCTATTCATGTGTACTTCACCACATGCTGATGTACATTTTTCTTGGTACTAGTCAAGATGCAGAATACAGACAACAAAAAGTGGTCATACACATTTTTAGTTCCATTCGAAAAACAGATGAGGAAAAATATTTCAGAAAAAAAACAAGAAGGGAGAAAAGGTGTTTCCTCTGCTGTTCAAAACGTGATTAAAACAAAATCCTTGTTCCAAGACTAGAGAAAATATTTCACGTCTATGACGAAAGACTAATTTCAGAGAAGAAATCAAATTAATTCTATATTAATTGTACAGTAGCTGTTTGAGAACTGCAATATTTATTGGGGGTGGGGTGGTCATTAAGAGCTACCAAGGAAAAGAAAAACACTCAGAAGAAAGGCTGACTAGTATAAAAAGACTCATCTAGAAACAGTGTTTTTCAAAGGCAAAAGGTGTTCGTCATGTAGGTAGTATGCAATAAAGTCAACAGCAAATGCAAGTGAGAAATTATTACCAAAATGTACATCATCTTTAACAGTATGTGTAAGGTTATCCATGTAACAAACAAACATCACATGTATACGTATAAAGATAAACGTGAATTGGTTTTGGTTGTTTTTTCTTAAAAATGGCGTGGATAAGAAGTGGAAGATATCTCCCTTAGGAATGGCAAACTTCCCATAGATTATTTGGATATAAACTAAGTTCAAAACACTCCAACATTCAGTGACCAGCAGAATAGTTTTTAAGCACTAAGGAATTCAAGAACAGACGCACGGATTTTACCAACCACTGCTAATGCCCATGACTAAGAACAAGAGGCAAACTGAATTATCTTTCAGGATCTGAGACGATTTGTTCAGAAGAAACTAGATCTTTCACAGGGTAACAAACTACTTGATGCAATATGTCATGTTAAAAATTCACAAGAGAAAAAAACAGAAGAAACCAGGCCTTTTCAGCTAGTCTGTTTGTGCAGCAATAGCTTTGTGGGACTGTTAGATTATTACAGTATTTATAATCCAGTTAACATTATTTTAAAGTTTATTTTTCCATAAAGGTCTCATGTGGGACTATGAAGTTTTATTTTCCCTTTTTATTTTCCCTTTTTAGTTAATAGGTTATAAATACATTTTCTGTGAAAAATTTCTCTATGTAGATGTAGCAGTTCTGAAAGCAGAGATCACAACTGCAATTTATTTTCAAGTTTCATAGAATATAACAACCTGTTTAATCAAATGTTCTTCTTAATAGCAACTAAACCATCTCTTCAAATGTAATTAAGACTACAGAACTGTACTGTTCATTGCAGCATCATCTTAATTATGCCTACTCATACTACTAATCTGACTCAACACACAGCTTCCAGTTACGGTATGTGACAAGTCTGACACAGAAAATTACCTCTTTGACTTTTAATCAATACTTAGCTAAGGGACAGGAACTTTTCCTCACCCTTAGCACTACTCCTAAGCGTAAAACAAATGAGTACACAGTCTCCTTCAAAATATACATGTTAATATTTCGTTATCATTGGCATACCTGTAGGACATTAAAGGATTGCTGCTAAATGTAATTTCCGCTGCTTGGTGTCTAACCTTCTTGAACCCAATTTGACAAATCCTAAGGATTTTCCTTATTTAGCAACACTACCCACCACCACTCTAAGAGTTTGCTACATAATTTAGAGCAGCAGAACTAGGCTGTAAGATCTCTGGTTAAACTAGTAATCTTTAAGAATGCTAATCCAATTGAATGGCTTAGCCTTTCCATTACAGTACTACTCTGTGCTCTGCAGATCACTCTTTCGTTTTCTACATGACCTTAAGCACAACAGTCTAGCAGTAAGAGAAGGATCATACTTGACAATCAGTCTTCACTGCCTCACTTCTGACAAAGTTATATATCATAAACAGTATTTTCAGACTTAAAAAAAAAATCAGTCTCAAGTCAAAAGCCTCCAATATATGAAAAGTGAAAAAAATTTAGTTAAACAAGCATGCAGTAGGAAATATCATGTTTTGAATTCAACCAAAACACAGAGCCTCTGATTTTGCCCCGACGTTTTATGGTTCTTTTGCACATTAAGAATTGGCCATTGTCATTGGAACTATGTCAATATATGCAATACAATCGAGCCATCTAAATTCACATGCTAACTTAATTACACACAACATTGTTTATTTCTATTCTTAAAATGCCACTGCAAGAAAGAAATTTAGTTAACAGCTGCGTTCCCAATTACAATACTACAACTAGAAAAACCATCAATCGTGAGACATCATCTTCAGACTATATATACACAGCATAGTAGCTTGTTTAACAACAGATCCACTTTTAAGAACTCTGAAAAATTTTGATTCTTATGTAAATTTCAGCAAATGAATATCAAATGGTTATTTTTGTCCTCAAGTTATACAAAACATTTTTTAATTATTCACTGATATGGAAGACATTAATATGAATTTCTTTCAACAGAGTATTCTGAAACAAACTAGTATGACACTGTTTCAGCAGAACTGCGTTCAGATCTAAACCTGCATTCTCCTTTCCTCCTCCACCGAGCATAAAATCTTGCATAAGCATTCAAGAAATTGTAGAAGGGGATTTTGTTTAGATATCTTAAGAGGGGTTTTAATATGCTTTTAACATGGTAATTTTCAAAACTGCTTTTATTTGAAGGAAATTATAACTAGAATATACTCTTATTAGAAGCACTAACAGTTACATTAACATTACATAACTTCATTAACTGTGTTGAATCTGTGGAAATCCTCCTTTGAAAGACGCAGAGCCCAGTTTTCTATTATCATAAGAAAGGTGAAAAGAGAAGAAAGTTGGAGCAACATTATCAAAATTACACAAAATACCAGGATATGTGAACTAGTCTTATTCTTTTTATTTATATAATCAATTAAAATAGCAGAAAAATAACTGCTGAAAGAAGTGTTGGTAAAGGAAAGTTATCTCAAAGAAATAATTTACTTATCTGATAACCACTTAAAAAAAACCCAGATTCCATTATTTTTCATTCCATAATAATTCAACCCATTTAATGTGTGATTTTTTTTTTATAAAATGATTGATTCATTTGGTGTTGTCTTCTCACCTACCTAGACAATATTTCTGACATTTCTGTGGCCATTTGTTCCCTATAAGAAAATTGATAAATACGCATAAACCAAACACATTAATATAAAAACAGCCTTCACAACTGTGATCGTCTCTTGCCAACCAAACTGAAGCTAATTCAAGTGCACAAAAAAATTGGCTACTTATTTTAAATAAGTTTCATTTTAATATATATACACAATCCTGATTCTGTAAAGAGCAATAAATCACACAGGGCAGTGAAAATGGATGGTATGTGAAAAAATTTACATTAATTATATAATCATCTTTAAATAGATATTATTAGATATATTAGATTATTAACTTACTTATTAGACTTGAGAAAAGCAGTGGGTGTAAGGTATTACAAACTGATTTAAAGTTTACAGATGCACACTAATAAAGATTTTTATGGGGTATTAGTAAATTAAGAGGACAATATAAATTTCCTTTGAATTAATTAGTGTTACTTTTTTTTTTCTATTAGAGCATTCAAATGGAAAAAAATGCCATACGCAGTCATTTGCAGCTTTGTTCCATTGGCTCTGCAAATAGAAGATATTTATGTTAGATAGACTACTTCCTTGTTACCTTTCTAATAATCTGAAGTGGAAAAAGGTGGGTCATAGTATTTCCTGCTCTCTCACATCATATTCACAATCGTCTGAACTTATATTTTTTATTTTTTCTTACTAAGAAATGGGATTATATAGGCCTTTTTCTTCATCTTTCTCATTCAATCATGAGTATTATATTATTTTTAAAAAGATAAGGTAACCTGGAAAAAATGTACAAGCAAAAACTTCCTCCACCCTTTTACTCCTCCACCCCATCTTTCAAAATTGAAGATTATTCCTGGATAAACATATTACAAGAAAGAACAATAATCCTCATGTAGCTACTCTGGGAACAGGACAGATAGCATCTGCATGCAAGCTGTGAGAAGACACACGAGTCTAACTGCCATAGTGAAGACCCACATGCACAAATGTAGCACTGAATATGCTACAAATTAGAACTTATTTGGATTGTTCTAATGCAATGCACAGAACAGATAAACTCACAACACCTTCACTGAGGCTGGCTTATTTTGGTGCTACATGCTATACTATATGTTTCAATAAGCCACAGAAATAAAAAATATTGCACAGCCAAAGACAGATACCAATTATTTAACTAATTTTTTACCTAATTGCTAAGCAGTTCTGTTAATTTACCCCTAGGTGCATTCAATCTCTTATTACACGTGCTTTCAAATCGCGGATGAGTAATAAAATTGGACGAAGCTAGGAGAGGCCCAGCATATCCAGCACAGAATAAGCGCAAATAAAAATGCTGGATCTACTGCCAAAACAAACAACTTTTCTTCTTTGACAAGGGTCAACAAGTGTATTTCTCAAAGAAACTATTAATATCTATGAACTTTTACATATCTATGAAAACTAATGCTGAATGTGAGAAGACATTGAGGAGAAAGAGAAATAAAGTAGAGGCTACTCATTTTCAAATATGACAACATGCAAGTATCACACGTTCCTTAAAAATGAGCAAAATACAACAGTTTCTTCAAAGTGGCACATGAAAATCACCTTGTTCTTACTATTTTCAGTCCACAGGTAGTACAGCACAATGGAAAATTCCCTTTTCATGCCAACATGTAAGCACAAAACGATTTTTTGCGAAATCGTGTGAAAACACTGTAGAACCAGTATACTGCATGAATTCAGTATGGAGAGATACATGCTTTATCTTACTACAGCAAAATTTAACAGAAAAGGGAATACACATATATAAAAGTCACAGTGATTTCAGTGTATCATATGGTAATATGCAAGTCTCGAATCCACAAGACGGAAGAATATAACTTAGACTCTAGTAAAATTATAATTCACATCAGTTAAAATAAGTCCTGAGAATGTATGTTTAAATTATTAAATTACATGTTTTGTTCAAACTGATAAATAGTTTTCATTTCAGAGAAGAATTCCCACAGTTTCTACCTTTAAGGCAATTACTGCAGTTATGTGGATATCTACCCTCGCATTTCAGTAGAAGATACTGGGGTCTGGGAAAGGTTTTAGTTTGTTTTTAAACAAACCAAAACAAAATCAAAGCAAAGGTACAATTAAAAGCATTTTCTTCAATTTTTGGACATGCTTAAAACTCTTTGAAGTAGACTGCAGAAACAAATTAAAAAATTTGCTAACAAGCTAAAAAGAAATCTCATATAAGCAGAAATATATCTCTCTACTACTTTTTTCTAGATTTATATATTATCTTGTTCAAGAAAGGATTTACATTGCTATGTTAACTTCTTCAGACCATTCTTCACCTTCCAATCATTCAAAAACAGTCTTCATTCTCCTACTGCCAGCTACACAGCAGAGAACAACTGGCAGTCACAATTATCAGGACGGTTGGCTCATCATCCATTCCAGGACTACACAAGGAAGACAAATACCAGGATCACCCACAAGCAGTAGGAAACACTGGAGATTACAGCTTCACTGACAGAAAAGTTGTTGCATTCTCTGAGCCCTTCTTGTCTAATGCCTCCCTTCTTTCATGTTTAAGAGAAGTTTGCCTGGTTGCAACACTTGAGTGACTTTAGGTTTACCTTCAAAGGTAAACTGCACCAAAATCCAAACAGGAAAAAGTATGAAAATCTCCAGAATGCTGTCTGTGAAGCAGTGGACATCCAACTGAGCATGTTACAGTCTCATCTGAGCTAATATGACAGCTATTGTATAACTAAGGGAAAAACCACATCATTTTAGTGGAAGTGTCTAAAAATCAGTACTGTACATGACATAAAAATTACCTACCTATCTCACATAGGTATAACGGTTATTTAAAAAAGAAAGTATGCATCTAGATAAAATTTGAGTAGCAAAGAGAACACATCTGGGAGCTTGAAATTCCATGGAAACACTTGGGATTTTCTTACACCCCCTCTTTCAACCACAACATACTGAGTAGACTAGCAGTAATGAAGTCACCAATGATGCAATCATCTTCACAGGTGCCTTTATGCAATTTGATCAATAAGTACCATTTTTATGGGACCAATAAGTTGCTTCTAAGACGTCACCCTTTACACATGAAGAGCGCCTGCTTTGCAGGCAGCGTGGTTCTGTATACCAAAAGCCAAGCACTTGTTGTGATGCATCAAAAAGTTCAAACAGAACAAAACATTTAAGACAACGCTTGATTTTCAAATGCATCTATGTTAAATATATTCAACCCACTTTACAAGTAAACTTACCAGTCAGGACACAGATGTAACTACTATTTCCGAATTCAAAGAGGACTTCTTGTTGAAAAAAAAAAACAAACCACACACTAATTCACACTACACTACTGGAACCATCAAGTACCGGAAAGGGTATACTTTATTACTACTTACCACTGAAAAAATTCCATTCACTACTTCAAATGAGTCATAAAAATCATAATTTAAATTGGTTGCCATCTTTGCCAGAACTCAAAAAGAGAAAGAGAACTGCAGTCATATTCACAAGCACCTAATAAATTACTGGTGTAGCAAGACACAAAATGAAGCAAGTCTTTAAGCAAAAGCAATCTATTTCTAACAAATTTCACAAGTTAATTTGAAAAATATTCCAATATGCTGACTTAAAAGGTCCATTAATTAATACAAAAATATATAAAAACAACATGAGTGTGGTCTTCTCAAAGGCATCAGGCTAGGAAGAAGACAAAAAAAAGAAAAAAAAGAGAGAGACAAATTTAACTACTTAAAGCCATACCTGCGCAATCCTAAATCAAGCTGAGCCTCATCACTGATGAGTTCTGCCTCACTCTGGGCAATCCTCATTGCAAGTTCATGATCACGACGTTCCTGTTCAAGCACTGCCTGGTGCTGGGTTTCCTCTTCTCGTTCTCTAGCTAGCTGAGCCTCAATTTCAGCCTGTTTTACAAAAACACACCTTTAACCTTAGCCAATCAAACCCAAAATGCTACATAAGCAAATTATTAGAAAAATATTCTGAGTAGTATATTTATAGCTTTCAAAACATGCAAAATCACAGAACTGAGAAAGTAACAGCATTAGTATTTAGTTTGCCCCAAGAAAAACAAAACAGCTACAGATTGTTTCTTGGTTTTCATATAGTTTATCAAATCATTATTATCCACCATTTGTATTACCTTTTCAAATTAAATTGCCAATCAATTATTCCTTTAAAAACACATGAAACTTTTTGTTAGCTATTACAAAAATTAGACTTCAAAAGTTTGCAGAATCATTAAAACACAGATGATGGAGCAATATGGTTATTCCTCCATAGCACTGACACAATACTCCCTTGATATTCTGCACTCGGCATCACAGGACTTTGCAATAGGCATTGTTTTGCATGTAGGTCCACGGTTCATTTTGAAAAGGGATCAAGACAAATGCTGGAATCCTCTGTGGACCTGACCTGGCTTTGAATTTAAGCAAATGGTAAAATTCCGACTTACTAAAATGCAGAAGCAATCCAGATATACTGCCTCTGCAGAGCAAAACTGTAAGTCTGGTTTACCATCATTACTTAACAAAGGGTCTTACACACACGGTAAGTAAAATGCGACCATCCAATTCATACTTCTGAAAGTCATACATGCCAAGTCTTAGCAGTGCCTTTCTTGGGGCCCAAAAGTCAACAAAGGAGACAAAGTCACTTCCCACTAATCATCGTGAATTTGTACTACTAAAGCAGTGCAGTAACACCGGTGACTTTACCCTATGAAAACGATTTTAGATTAGCTGATAGTAACCACCACCAGAAGGAGAGATAATGAGTAATCAACTGTATGTGGAAGAAAGAAATACCCTACTGGGTTATGTATCAGCTTTGTATCCAAACACAGCATTTGTAAGTAAAAGTGTAAATTACATCTGTACATTACATCTGCAATGGTCTCCAAGCAATGACTGAGAGACTAGCCAAATAGCAGCTTCCTCTCTTTATGTTTAACTTCTGCAAGCTGGTAGTGTTGACTATTCTGATGCAGGTGACTGACCCAATAATATACGAAAGATTCATTTTTCATCAAAAGTTAGGCTATCATTTCTCTGTTAGTTCCAGTGACTTCTTTATCAAGAATGAGGGTGAAGTGACAGAACAGAGTATGCAGACACAAGGATAAGCAATGCTAGGCTAACTCCAGGGATGACAAGATACAGGGGGAAAAAAAAAAAAAAATCTGTTTCTGATTAATCATGGACAGGGCTTAAAACAGTCTGTAAACACCAGTGACAATGGCTCTGCAGTTGCTACAACTGCCCCCACAGGAAAGCTTTTTCTCCCTGAGACTGCTCTCCCAGGTCACCCAAGCAACCTCCGAGAAAAGAGGAAAACAAGGCTACAGGGGCTAAACACAACTTAGAGTGAGCTCATGATGGGATCAGTAAGAAGTGCCAGGAATCAGGGAGGGGTGGAAGAGCAGGGTTTGAACTGTGTGTATTTATTCTACATTCATGTAGTCAAAGGGCTACTAGAGACAGTCCTGTATCCTCTCATTGTGACCAATATTCTGAAAGTGTTTACAGTTAAGCTGTTACATGACACAGCCTGCGTCCAGATGTGACTTCTACCAAAAGAGTGCCAAACCTGGCTGACACGGAACATCTGCAAAAACTTCAAAGGCTAAACTAGGATTCTGCAGTGCTGTGTATTTTTAACTGCAAAATAGCTTTAAAAATCCTTCAAAAACAAATGCACCTCTACTCAATAGACTTGAACTTGCATGTGGACTAGAAATAGGTGATGTCTTGGGATGCCCTAATCATGATTTTCACCTTACATTTACTACTAAAGCAACATTGCTGAGTGACTCAGACACGCATTTATAAAATGAAGCCATTAGACTCTGTGGAGAACCTAAGCTGTGAAAAAGATTTTAAAAAAAAAACAAAAAACCAAAACAAACAACCACCCAACACCACAAAATACCCAAACCACAAAAAACCACCACCACCAAAAAAAAACCCCCACACAGCTAAAACATTAACCTGCATGCGCTTTTCTTCCTCTTCCCTCTTTTTCCTCTCTTCCTCTTCCTGTTTTCTCTTTGCCTCAATCTCAGATTTCCTATTAAAAAGAGGAGAAGGAAGTGAAAACATGTTATGATGCAAATGGACAAGAGATAGGAAAGCATATTCCACAAAACTGAATGGTAATCCAGAAGTCAGTACAGTCCTGATACATGTACAGTCAAGAAACATTCTAAGTCCATCTGTATTTTCAGCTGCATCATATAATTTCTTCCATACTCTGACTACACTTACTTTATAAAACACTGGGAAGGGAAATGTTTTATACTTCATAGCACACGAGGAGTACAATCCAAGTCACTCTCTTTAAGCATAGGAGTATTAAAAACAACCTTGTTAAAGTGCCTTTCTTAGTTTCTTCTCATTCTATAACCAGTAACTTATTCAAGACTCACAGACGTCTTTCCTGTTCTTCCTTCCTTCGTTGTTGCTCTTCCTCTTCACGTCTCTTTCTTTCTTTTTCCATCTCCTCCTGGATGCGTCGTAGCCTCTCTGCTTCCTCCTCTTGCTGTTTCTTCTTTTGCAGTGCACTCAGAAGCTGCTCTGAGCTTCTAACTAAAGCATCATATTCTTTCTGTATCTGTTCCCTAGTCATTATAGTGGTCTGCAAAATGAAGAGGGGATTATATTCTTTTACCTTTGTACTTCACTTTTAAAAAACGTGTATTGAAAAAATATTAAGTGAAATGAGAGCATTAAGTAGTACAATTAAATTATATATACACTTCAGGGTGGGGGAGCTTGAGCAAATCCTCCCCTTCCTTCCTAAATTCCCAGGGACCTGTTACTCTCCTTTCTCATATAAAACCACACAAAGTAATCTCAATTTTATCACTGAAATTAAACATGACTTCGCTTTAACACATGCCTTCAATTTTTTAAACCTTGCAGTTTTAAGCAGCAGAAGATAATTCTTACCAAGCTAAGATGAAAACTAAGGGCCTCCTATGTGCATTTTGTGTTGCGTTCTTAGCTGCTATAGTGGTCATTTACAGCTCTGCCTTTTACGTCATAGCACAGAGCAGTTTCTCTTAATATGTCTGCTAACGCTCAGAAAAAGTGTTGGACCATGCTGTGACTTTTTTTAAAAAGGTATTAGTAGCAAGTAACAGGTTGAAAATACTTTAAAAAATAGCCTTTACTATGTATGCTTTCAAACCTTATTGACAGCTAAAATTTAATTTCATTTTACAATTCACATTGATGGGTACTAATAAATCTGCAATACGGGGTGTTTGCTGACCTTTTCTGAGGGTGTATCATGATGACAAACAAATTATCTTATTTTTATTAGAAAAGAGAACTGCAAGTGGACAGGTTAACTCTATCATCTTTTCATCCATGATGTTAAATAGAAAAATCTTAATACAGTACATTGAGAAAGCTGTAACACTGCATGAAACAAAAATTCAACACATCAATTTTTTTCTAGCGTTAATTTTGTTAATTTGCTTTCATTTTGTCTATGTGCTCTTACGGTAAGAAACTAAGTACTATAGACCCTGAAACATAACCAGCAAGCTGAATTCTCTTTACTACCAAGTCTGAAAAAAACTCATAATGGGAATACAGATCTTTTTACTCTGTGATAAATGCTTGTACGTTTCAGCCCTGTAAACATTGCTAATAGGCATTATTCCAATAAAAAAAAATAATAATAAAAAAAAAAATCAACAAGCAAATTATTAACAACGCTTGTCTCACAATATCAACATGCATTTTTGCTTTAAATTCTCCAGTGCCAATTTTAAAATGCAGATAATAATACCAGTCTAGACGCACGCATGCAGTTTCAGGATTCACTTCAGTTACGTTCAGAAATAACTGTAAACAGGATTTGCCCAGTGCCTCTGAAAATTAAGACTTCTATATTAAAATGTCTTTTCTATTAAGAAAAATACACTGGCCTTCTATTTTAGATTAAGTTTTTTTAAAAGATTCCAGTAACAAGAAACTATTTCTCTAATTATTATCATACCTTAATTTTGGTCATCAAAGCATCAATAGAATACTCCAGCTCCTTGACCTGCTTGCTTGTCTCCGCCTTCCCCTCCTTCAGAACACTTACTACTTCATTAAATTTATCAAGTCTCTTCTTCAGGGTACGCACTTTTATCAGGCCATCAATGCTGTGAAGGTAGGACAGTTTCTTTGTATCGAGATGTTTTCACAAGGCGGTATTTTTCAAACTACTACTAATCACTTATATTAAAGTAGATAGGGGAGACAAGTTACACCTTCTGATAAAACTCACCCTCTTTTTTGAAATTCAAACATTATCACATGAAGTAACTAAGCAATGGAGCCTTTTGCAAATAATAATTAAAACTGATTCGCAGACAGTGACTCAAAATGGAATAATGTGGTTTTATTTTGAGAATTAACGTGGGTTGTTGTTTTTGTTTTTTTTTTCCAATAACATATCATTAGTATCCACCGGAGGATTTTGACTGGAGTGGAAAAAAGTTGAGTTGTGCCACTTACTCAAAGAGCAACTGAATCAGATAAAACTTAACTACACAGCAGGGACCCCACCCATCAGATCCCACAGGGCGGGGGGGGAAGTCTGGAAAATAAGAGTCCAGGAAAACTTGGAGCTTCTTAAAGAACTAATACTGAAGGCCACATATACAAGTTACAACTCTGTGGAGACAGTCTTCCTAGACAGAAACCACTGAACTGGGATTCAGGAAAACATCACACAAAGACTAGAAAGTAAATCAAATCCTTAAAGATGAGTACAGAACAGCTTAATAACATAGGGACGTGGTCAAAAATGCCAAGGCACACAATGAAACATAACTATCAAAGGAGGCAAAAGAAAATATTTTATAAGAACACTACTATTAAAGAACCGAGAGTCAGATCTCTATCAAAGAGCAAAAAAGTGTCAGCAGAGCTTAATAACCAAAGCGGTTTTTCCATTGGTATTCCATGCAGTCAGATTAAAACTAATGGAATTACTTAATTTCAAAAGGAGACAAGACAGACAGAACACAATTATTTTTAAGATAAAAAAGAAAGGGGGCCTATAAAGAGAGGTGTGAAAGGGTAAAGGACAAAACTTAATGAGCCTAAATCTCATTTACAGAGACTTAACTAAGGATTTCTGATAACCAGGCTATAACTGAAGGATTTTATGAACAAAGAGCTAAACAAACATCTCTTAGGAAAGGTTCAGATTTAGTCTGTTCATCCTTGGGAAAAGAGATGAAGAACACGGCACCTTTCAAAATTTCTTTCAGTCATACTTAGCATCATCCTATGACTTCAGATATATTTAGTTAAGCATAGTAAATCCCTTCTTTACATTCACAAGAAAATATGATTAAATATCCGTTTTCTTCAACCAAGAAATATCCTCTTACCGTGGTTTGTGCTTTCTCTTGCAAAGCCACATACGAATAGTCTTTTGGATTTTAATGCAGGCACTGGCTCGATATTTTATCTTATTTTTCACTGTAAACACACAGAAGATCTGAGTCTCAATGGTTTATACAATGTAACACAACTCCTATAGTACTCACACACCTAATGGCTCAAAACTGTATGTAGACTATGTGTGCTTGAGAGCTAGGTCTGTATCGGAACCACAACACTTAAGACACAGCAGACAAAATTCACAAACCTGAGCCAGGCAGAGAGGCTCCCTCCCAAAACGAACAGAATGAATTACTTGCATGCACAGTCACACACATGCAACCCCCTGGCTTCAGATTCAGAGGCATCTGTAAACTCAGTGAAAAGTCACTGGACCTAGCAAGCAGGAAACGTTCAGATTGAAGTCTAAGTCCTGCACTGAAGGGTAATCAAGTACGCGATATCTGCTAGAGACAATAAAGCGTGTGCAACTTTGCTGAGCATTTCCCTGCAGTATTGAGATGAAAGAACACAAAACAAAACCTCCAGCTGTTGTTCTTGTAATACAGCCTTCATCTAAAGACTCAAATGACTGGGACCAGGAGGCAAGTGCACAGGCACAGTATGTGTGCTGAGCAGCTCGGAAGTGCAACAATAAATGCAGTTTTTACATATCTACTGGAGGCAGCGTAGATGCCTATGGACCCATGCTGCCTTTAGTCACCAGCTGAGTGCGTGGTTTGTGAAAAAAGTGATACTTAACTACTGGACTTAGGTGACCACAAAGATGCACTCTACTTTTCGTGTGCCTATTTCAGCTTCATTCTGAGGATAAAATTAGCTCCTAGTTTCCCATAAAACACAAAAAAGTAAGGCACATGAAACCAGCATATTATTTCCTTGGGTTTCTACTTTTTTGACACAGCTACAGACTTGCTGTCCTATCTTTCTAAAATATGTACTAACCGGCGTAAGTTTCTAGGTCAAAAACATGATTTTAGTGGTACAGTTCCTGATGTCTGAAACCTATGTGATAAGAATACACAACTTCTATTTGCCCTACTATAAACAGCAACAAATAGTATCCGATCAGTGACAACTGTCACAATGACAAATGTCACAACTGTGCTGGCCCAAATGCACAGCCATAAGGCATGAGGACTTCATACTTTTCTTCGCCATCTTAATGTATATTTTCTACTCTCCTTGTTATTACAGATCCCTGACATCCTACATCAGGCCTTTCCCCATCTTGCAGACATCTTTACTGAAATACCCCACGAGCACCAACCTCTATTCCACACTGCCTCAATTCCTACCCTGCACAGTAAACTGGGCAGGCCAAGCACTTATAAATGGGGATCAATGGTAACAGGCACTTATTTGCTGATCAGCAGTAAATCCTGGAGTGGAGACATTGGCCCTGTAATTCATGTCAGTGCTTTCAAACAGGCAGTTTCTGTCTGGAGATGACAAACTCTGTGCACACACTTTCCACAACTAAATGACTCCATATTGTCAGCTGAGAGCTGAACTACTGTTCT